GGTGCTGGAATGGCGGGAATTGCAGCTGCACATGCTCTCCGTGAGGCCTCAATTCAGGTAACAAAAACCTGAAACCTGATTAACTTTCTTTCGTCCAATAAATCATGCTGGTCCCCTCATCAAGATTCGAACCGATACTTCGGACTGACAAAATATCATGTTCTAAGCATTAGCTGTCCCTTTGGAGATGGAAGCTTTTGTCTTTGAACATTTTTTTCTTAAAATATGATAGAGTTTGTCTGTTTGTGTTTTCAGGTTATGGTGTTAGAATCCCGGGATAGAATTGGTGGTCGAGTTCACACCGATTACTCATTTGGTTTTCCAGTTGACCTTGGTGCATCATGGTACAGTTTCTGCCTTTTCCATTCTTTTTATATTAAGTCCTGTTCAGTTGTGTAAGTTAATTCTGTCTCTAATACTTTCCCGAAAATATATGCTTCAGGTTGCATGGAGTTTCCAAAGAAAATCCTTTGGCACCATTGATCAGTAGGCTTGGACTCCCCCTTTACCGGACTAGTGGTGATAACTCTGTGTTGTATGACCATGACTTGGAGAGGTGAGCAGCAGTTATTCAAACACCTAGACTTTGATTTTATATGTTTGCCAGAGCATGTTGAATGCTCTGCTTTTTCCCTTGTTTGGTTCTATATGTTGGAACTTTTCTTCTGTGATATAAGAAAAAGTGGTTTCACCTTATATGGCACAAAAAAATTTATTTCCTATAAGGATGGTCTTGTTTCCTTTATGACATTGTGTATTTCCTCACACTGTAAATGTTTGTTTCGGTGATAATGTGTTTTATTTTCTTTGCAGCTATGCACTCTTTGATATGGATGGACATCAAGTTCCACAGGAGTTGGTCACCAAGGTTGGAGAAGCATTTGAGCGCATTTTGAAAGAGGCAAGTGTTGTCTATTTATTGGCTAATGTCTCTCTAGTGCTAACATTATTGTGCATTAGACCTCAGAACTAGAATGCTTTTTTTCTTTGAACTGTGATGATAATTTTCTGTCCCAATCTGATTTGCTGTGTCTTTTTTTGTTGCATTATTTGCAGACAGATAAAGTGAGACTAGAGCACAGTGAAGACATGTCTATAAGCCGTGCTTTCTCAATTGTTTTTGAAAGAAGACCAGAATTAAGGTCTAATCAAACGTGATTCTGTTATTCCATGCATCTTTTTCTTCATCTCCCATTTTATGACTTTGAAAATGTGACTTCTCAAAATTTTCTTTGTTAATCTACAGGTTGGATGGGATTGCACATAAGGTACTCCAGTGGTACTTATGCCGAATGGAAGGTTGGTTTGCTGCAGATGCTGATACTATCTCACTTAAAAGCTGGGATCAGGCAGGTTTTCATATATAGAAATTTGAGGTTTTATTTGAATTGTTTTGAGTTTTGTGGTTCATTAACTTAGTGGTCTTTAATAAATTCATTCAATATAAGCACCAAAAATTATATATATTGGGGATATGTTTTCTTGGGCAGACAATAGGAACTGAAATGTGGAATGGAGGTCAAGAATGCTATTGCACTGTTGAACATTTTGAGGGTTTGATATCTTCGTACTCTATGAATAAAAATCTTTCAATTAAAATTGGAGATTGGTCCAAGCTCCTAAGCTGCTGGTTTGACCAACACGAAATTTTCTGACTCACTTTCATATGATTTGGACTCTTATCCAACACAGTAACATACCTTCTTCACTCTTTAAAAATTTGTGTAGAATCCATTTTTCTCTCTTCTCCTAAATCTTTTGCATTTAATACAAAAATAAAGAATTAAACTACCAAACAAATATTTGTATATCCTGTCTGTACAATCTGTCCCATTTGGGCTACTGAAAGTCCAATGTGACTGTCCCTGCTAGATGATGTTGGGAAGGCATATAGGAATATAGGATCTTTTGGTCTTGTTTCCTCTCAGGCATCATTTGTAAAATTATGTAGCAAATAGTCTTCTAAAATTCAGGTCCTAGTAGGATACAGAAAAAATAGTACAAATTAATTCAGGAATGGCTATTTGAAGCATTCAACTTATGATTTCATTTTGCCAAATTATCATATCATGTTCTAACCTTTGCTTAGAATCTCCTTTAAAGTTGCTTGATTGTGATGCTTCTCAGCTACACTCTTTGGCTTCTTTTTTTGGTTTCACTTCGCTTAACGTATTGACTCACACTTTTCTTCTTCTTGTCTTACAACTTTCTGTTTCTATTGTCTTCTATACACAGGAAGAGCTGTTACCTGGTGGTCACGGGCTAATGGTCAGGGGCTATCTTCCTGTCATTAACACTCTTGCCAAAGGTCTTGACATCCGTTTGAGTCACAGGTAATTTCATTTGAAAATTAGTTCACCAGTTTGTATGCCCTGTAGCATGGATTTGACTTTGTCAACTAATGTCTATTGTTGTGATATTTTTTGTCCTTAGGGTTACAAATATAGTGAGGCGTTACAATGGAGTGAAGGTTACTGTGGAAGATGGAACTACATTTGCAGCCGATGCTGTTATTGTTGCTATTCCTCTAGGGGTACTAAAATCCAAGATTATCAATTTTGAACCAAAGCTTCCAGAGTGGAAGGAAGCAGCTATTGATGACCTCGGAGTGGGGATTGAGAACAAAATCATATTGCACTTTGACAAGGTGTTTTGGCCTAATGTAGAGTTTTTGGGAGTTGTTGCTGAGTCAACTTATGATTGCAGCTACTTTCTAAACCTTCACAAGGCCACAGGTCATTCTGTCCTCGTGTATATGCCTGCTGGGCAGCTGGCCAGAGACATTGAGAAAATGTCTGATGAAGCTGCTGCGAATTTTGCATTTATGCAACTGAGGAAGATCCTTCCAGAGGCTTCTGCCCCGGTAAGCCAAAATTTTCAAGATATGTTTTGTTCTATATTTCGGAGGATGCTTCTGCCTAAAAACTGACGTATGGTACTCTTGAGGGTTTATAATCTGTGTTTGTCTGTGTCAGTTCCCTGCACCAACAGTTATAGATGTTTTATTAAGTTAAAGAACTTTGACATCATGATAAGACTAAGTTTTGTTGTAAACTTTCACAAAGAGTCTGTTGCTTTTTTCTCTTAGGCATATATTCATGTGGAATTATAATCAAATATCTAATAAATTCAAGGATGCTATGGTCAAATTTCAATTTTGTGTTTAACACTGATGTCTGTATCTAAAGTTACAGATCATGTTATTCAGAGTCTGCACTTCACCCAGTCCTACTAAGTTAAGTAAACTTGCTTGTTTCTTGAACCCACAGATTCAGTATCTTGTTTCTCGATGGGGCACAGACATCAATACACTTGGCTCCTATAGCTATGATGCAGTAGGCAAGGCCCATGATCTGTATGAGAGGTTAAGGATTCCAGTGGATAACCTATTCTTTGCGGGGGAGGCAACAAGTATGAGCTACCCAGGGTCTATTCACGGTGCATTTTCAACCGGATTGAAGGCTGCTGAGGACTGTAGGATGCGTGTACTGGAGCGGTACGGAGAGTTGGACTTGTTCCAGCCAGTCATGGGCGAGGAAGCATCATTGTCTGTCCCGCTTTTAATCTCCCGTATGTAACTTTCTTGCTCCCCGTGCCATGGTGTATTCCCAAGTATGTATTTGTTGATATGTTGACATGGGATTTGACTAGCGCATTATTGCCAATTTCATTGACGTAGATGGGGATCTTGTGGAAACACCACTTTGTCTCTCATGAATATCAAGAGCATTGGTTGATGTGTATAGTCAGACACCGTGTGGCATAGCTAGACGTATTTGTGTCCAGACAAGGAATAGTATGGTAATGTAGTCAGTCAAGTATTGAATTAAGAATGTGTAAGTAGAGGCGCACGGGGGTGCCTTTTCTGAGAGTGAAGTATGTGTTCAGAATGCATGTTATTAGTTGAGGTGCATCCACTACATCAGACAAACTGGTGACATAATAATTCTGGTAAATAAAAAGACAATTTCTACCTATGCTTCTCTCCGTGTGCGTCTCTTATATGGGTGTATGTAATACCTTGGCTTTGAAGTTAGGTAATTAGGAGAAGGTGAGAAATCTTAAATGAAGCATTCATTATACATTTTATCACGTGTAGAAATAGTTCAAGATAAACAGCAGATAAGATTGGACTATATGCATCTAATCTTGTATAAAATCTTTTATCTTTTAGATAAGTACCTTGTTTTCTATTTGAAGCAGACACGACATGGTGAAAATGTATGTTACACATGTTGAGATAAATTTTATATGATACACGATTAAATTAAAATATAATTTTAGTAATTTAAAATTACAATCAATAAATGTAAACAATTATAACAAATAACAGCATCATCTAATATAATAGAATTTAATATAAATAACATCTATAAAATTTATTATTATAATGATAAAATAGTTAACTTAGACAATAAATTAATAAATGTGTCCACTTATATGAGTTAACAGGATTAATTAAATTATTTAAATATATTAATTATTTTTAACACGTTTAAGATATTGATATGAATTTGGTTGTATTTTAATTTTTTCATAAAAAGGGCAACTGATTCATTTTGCACTATTCATGTGATTTAACAATTAAAAAAACGATGATGATAAGTCAATCTCAACGCAACGACAAGTTGAAGATTAGATAATTCAAACAAAAGGGTTGGATTGAGTGCAAGTAAAGAAAAGCGGGCTTACCATGAAAGGATGGCTTTTTAAAGAGTCAACAGTTACATGTGCGTTAGAATTATAAATAGAGTGAATAGGTACGTCTAACGGGTAATTTAATTATTATCGGTGTAAGCATAATTTGCTAGTTTAATTATGATAAAATTTTTTACCTTAATTATTCTTAACACGATATTGAGTTGAAATTTAGAAAATATATATGAAAAATAATTCATTAAAAAAATTTGAAGTAAAAGATTTTTATTTTGGGTCTTAACAGTTGGGACCCGGTTAGGATGCGAACTACGAGGAGTAGAGATAAATACGGTACATTCGATCAGGTTTTGCTGGAACCGTCCAAGTCCTACCCTCGGTCCTGCCCAGTCCACCAAAGCAAAGCAGGCGGGTAGGCGATCCAAGGCCAAGCCTCCGTTTTTGTTGGTCAACCAGACCTCCTCCACTTTGAAAAATGACAGATGGAGGCCTGGCGCCGAAGTTTAGGAATCCAATGATCGAATCATCGAACTGTTAGCGCTTGGCATATTAGCCGTCCGAATCAAGTCGGACATTATTCTTCTCTCAGTTCAGTCTTATTTTTATTTTATTTCCCTATTTTTCAAATTTTGGACAAACCCAACCCCGGTTTATTAGTTTGATCAAATAAAATCGTCACTGTTCGCTCTCCATTTGGCTATTCTACGAGTGTCTAAATCCCTCTCTTTCCCCTCCTTCCGTCTTCTCGTTTATTTGAAAATTCTACCAAATTTTTTTGTTTTGACTATTACCAATTAGAATCGTCAAAAGTTTTTCTGCAATGAAGAGATATAGGAACGGGGAAATCTGGGACTTCGAGCACGAGGTGGCGGTGGCGAGTAACAGGCAGGTGATTTTAGGATTGGACGGCGGAACCACTTCCACTGTCTGCATTTGTATGCCCATTATGCCTCTCTCCGACACCCTTCCCGACCCTCTTCCCGTTCTCGCCCGTGCCGTCGCCGGCTGCTCCAATCATAACAGTGTCGGCGGTAATTTCTCTCACTCGCATTTTTCTTCTACCGTGGAGCCCCATTCTTTCATTTGTTATTGCAAATTAGCATTTTGGAGGGTTTAATTCAGTAGTTTTAGGAGGCGCAAGAGTGATCAGAAGGGACTGTGGACAGCCGAAGTAATGTGGAAGACAGGCTAGATTTTGGTTGTTGCTTTCGCTACTTGCATTTTGACTTTTGGAAAGCAAAAGGCAAAACATGTTAATGGATATTAAAGTTTTGTTAAAATGGAAATGCATGGTTTTGCTTTAATATGACATACTTATGTGTGAATATGTGTAACATTCCAGCTATCTATTCATTCTCAAGCATATGTGATTTTGCGTTTTACTATTGGCTTTTGGTCTCTTTTAGCAATTTAGCAAAAGCAACAATTAGAAACAATTAGAAGAGCCCGAATTGGCAAGCCGATGTTTTTGTAACATTTGATTACAATTACACTTATTGTACATGATATACTGGATAAGATACAAACAGCACAAACTGTCTTGTTTTTGTTGTTTGTTTGTTCTTTTTTTCTAATTTTTTGGCCAGAAAATGTCACATGCTGTTAGTTTATTCCAATGCTGTGGTTATCAATTTTCTGTATTTTGCAGAAACTGCTGCCAGAGAAACATTGGAGCAAGTTATGGCGGATGCACTTTCAAAGTCTGGTTCAAATCGATCTGCAGTTCGAGCTGTTTGTTTAGCTGTATCTGGTGTTAACCATCCTACAGACCAGCAAAGAATATTGACCTGGCTTAGGTTTGCTCTACATCTTGCCGTTTGATTATATCAGTTGATTTAAGACTGCCATTGTATTTGAAGCTGCTAGAACTAATGTGAAAACTGTTATCGCTAACTTGGAATATATAAACTAAAATTTTCTTTATATTCTGGGAGAATCAGTGAGCATTTTAAATGAAATGGAAATTCTGATGTTTTATAAGAATCAACAGATGTTTAGGAAAATCCATGTAATTCAGCTTGCTTGTTCAATATGTGACATTTTTTGTTAATGAAGAAAAAATTTCTTGCATTGAGTGTTTGACAAATGCATTGAGTGTATCAATGTTCTCCTGTAATATTCAAATTTTGTTATGATAATTCATATAACCCTTTGCTTCTCTTTTTACCTGAAGTTACTTCATTATACAAATATATAATTAATAGTCATCTATGAATCTGCCTATGAATTGTATAGAGACATATTTCCCAGCCATGTAAAGCTATATGTACGAAATGATGCTGTGGCAGCTTTGGCTAGTGGGACAATGGGTAAGCTCCATGGTTGTGTACTAATTGCTGGTACAGGAACCATTGCATATGGATTCACAGAAGATGGCAGAGAAGCTCGAGCGGCTGGCGCAGGACCTGTCCTAGGTGATTGGGGAAGGTGCATGATTGTGATTTTGTTTTTCTTTTAGCTTCCTTTTTTTGTTGTTTAATTTTTCTCTAATATTCAATTTCAGACATAAGAGTTTCTACACTGTTGGACTTGTTAATTCTAATGATGTTTAGTTGACACAAAGCTTACGGGCTAAGGAATTTTTGGGAAC